TGTAAACAAATTTATAAATTATATTTAAACCCAGTTCATTGTGCAATTCCAACAAATTTCTATCAAATGCATATTAAATGTTGGAAAGCCACCATACTGGCCACCTCTTTCATATGCAAAGTTGAGGTATCTGGTTGGTAGGCTTATGTTTTATTTAGAAGCCATGGACTAGCAATATTTGTACCTAGCCTTACTCTATAATACTGTGATATAACATATAAATGTAGTAAGGTATTTTTATATGACATCACATGTGATAATAAATAGTATTTTTTGTTGGTGTGTTTTTAATATCAGTTAAAAATCTATTGTTTTTTTTTTTTTTTTTTTTTTTGTAAAATTTCATAAGTATATCTTTAGTTAAAATATACTATTTGTTTTATTTGGATATTTTGATATTTGTCTAAATAAGCCTTGATTGTTTGAGAAAGGAAATTTTTAACAGATTAAAGCCTTGGTTCATGAATTTGTGACCAGGTAGTACAGACTGGGAACAGGCTAAGCAATAAGTGAGCAGTATTTAATAAGAACAAGATATCTCTAGATATAGACAGCGGTATGAGAATAATGTATTCTTGTAGATTCAATGAAGAGTTTGAAATTACTTGAAGGTTATCCAAATTGACAAACACCAGAACAAATATCCATCTCCTCTCTTTCCTTGAGAAAATAAACATTGGCATGAATTGAACTTTAATGGTGTCAGTAAACACCCCCACAAAAAAAAATTTTTGTAGAATTGCTAACAACACCTTCCATATCACTTTTATTTTCTGTTTTTAATGAACTGCTGTAATATGTAGAAAAAGCATTTAGTTAATAAATGAGGATCCTGAAAAATATTTTAACCTTGGTAATGGAGAGTCCCTTTATTTTTATAATATATTTATTTCATACTGATTAAAATACCTTTTATATCAATTGAAGGTGATTTATTATTTTAATTAATTCATCATTTTCAAAATATAGATAATTTGATAAGTCTACTAATCTTATTTTTAAAAAATATTAGAAAGCAATTTTTTTTAATTTACAATTTATATTTAATGACCAATTAAAATTCAATGAAGTTAATATTCATTCATTTTCCATGACCTAATTTCATTGGTCACATCAGTCATTAAATGACTTAGGCATAACATTTTGGCAGGTTTGATGGAAAAAGAAACAATTTTTTTTATTCTCTTCAAAATAGTTGTAACATTTATTGTTCAGGAAATTCTGTAAAAGTCTGAAAAGATGATAATCTGACAAAGATTGGGAAAGTAGAACTAAAATTTTTCTCTTCATTGTATTTTTGCAATGTGTAGTCTTGTATTGCCATGTAAAAGTAACACATTGATGATCAGTGAAACTCACTTTCTGAACAAACTCTCAAAATTATTTCATTACAATTGAGCATTTCATGGTAGATTACATCCTTCATATCCCACCATTCCAGAGCATTATGTTCTCAGGGTTAATTGTGGTTTTAGTACATGAGTTGTAACTGTTTTCTCTTGTTGAATATGATTATAAAGGACCCACTTTCCCTCAGTGCTAACAATTCTTTTCAAAAACTAGTTTAATCATGTGTTTTGCTCTTAATGACAAACATGTTGACTTTGATTAAATTGACACCAATAAGATTATGTGGAATCAATTGATCAAGTTTTAATAATTTACTGAGTTCATAGAGGTGGGTTGTGATTATTGTATTGAACAATTGTGCTATTTCATGTACTGTTTAGGATTTTCTTCAATTACACTTAAGAGCTTGATTGTTAATTGAAGTTGACTGTCTAGAGCGAAGGAATTTTATCAGATAAGATTCCCTGATGGGAACCAAGTAAACTGGCATTCTCTAAATAATAAGACACTTAATGTCTTATTATATCCAGAGTGTAAATATTCCTCACTGTTTCTGAAGTTGATGTAGCATTAAACTTTAAAGTGTGAAGTGCCACTCACTTGTATTGGTCACTTCAATTCAAAAATTAATCGACATTAAATATTCCTGAAGCACAAGACTGTTAAGTTTATATGAAACAATTATGCTTCTATATAATTAAACAGCAACTTCACTTATCATAGCAAAATAAGTGTCGAGAATTTCTTTTCAAAACAACAGGATTCTTTCAGGTTCTTGTATTGTATACTTTGTAATAAATTTCTCTACTTGTTTTTTCTAGCCTAGATGTTTTGTTTTTTGTTCTCCAAATATTACATTTTTTCAAATGTAATATAAGCTTAAAAGCTTGGGATTAACAACTAGAGTTAAGAATGATTATGCTAATCAGCAATAGTAGTCCAAAAAGTGCTCTTGAGAAATGTTTAATTTAAAAAAGCTGGTATATTCTGTAATTTTATGTATTTTTATTACATTTAAATACAAAATAATTATTATGAATAAACAAACACTTGATATCATGTAATTGTATAGGTTAATTCTTTCTCATGATAAGATGGATGATATTATTGTAATACAAACACATGTTCACTTTTCATATCTACTCAGTAGTTAAATGTTTCTTATAAATGAAGTAGTTATATTAAAATGGTCAATCATTAAGAAGATTAAAACTTTTGGTGTTATTAAAATTTATAAGGACCCTGTAAAAAAAAAAAAAATGAAATTCAATGTGATTAATAATTTTTAGAGTTTTAGCCATCTTTTGAAAAGTAAGCCATTCTCTGAAAATTTAAATCTAGAATATTTGGGTAGTACCTAAGAAACGTAAAATTCCACATATCTAAGAGCTATAGATATACAAATGTATATATTTATACAGTTATATATTTAACACTCCTATTCATTCTTTCATTATTCAGGATGATTCTATAATATTAGCAACCATGTTGAGCTCTTCCTATCTTGGAGATATGAAAAGTCAAGTTGAACACTTGGCATCTGCACTGTATCAAGTTGAAGAAATAATTGATCTTTGGGCCTCTGCCCAAAAGAAGGTCAGTATAAAACAAAAAACAAAAACACATTGAATATAAATCTTTATGCAAATATAATTCTTGTATCTGTTCATATTCTTATTAATGTTTTTTACAAATGAAATTACAATTGAAAGTTATTTTTTAAAATTGTAAGATTGATAATTATTTACATATAGGTATTGATTAAACTTAGTTTAGTGTGACACAAGGCTACAGGTGTGCAGTATCTAGGAAGGATTAAACCCATTCTGATTAAAATGGTCTGAGACAAGCTCCAAACTCTTACTTCAGAGCAAAATGCCTATATATATATATATATATATATATATATATATATATATATATATATATATATATATATATATATAAAACAAACAACACTAAATAGTCTGTTTCATGCTGGAACACAATCTTAAGGCCATCATATATATATATATATATATATATATATATAATGATACTCTTAAGCAAACACAACAAACTATATTTACAATAAAGGCAGTAATAATAAAAAGTATTAAGTTATCTAAAAACTTAAATTAATAGCTGTAAATGCTAATGACTGACTCTTGTTAAGGTTAGCAACATTTGCAACAATTATTTCCTTGTACTGTTTGTGAAGAAAATTTTTTAAAATTGATATAAATTGAGATCTGGTAAAATTAACCAATTTGACAGATTCAAATTATAACAGACACTATTAAAACATACTCTATTAATCGGTTTCAGAAAAAATGAAACTTTTTTATTGAAAATTATCAAGATACAATAACCCTATTGAGTTGATAGCAACTTAAAATTTAATTAAATAATAATTTATAGAGAAAAATAAAAATTACACAGCATTTAAAACATATATCTAATTATTGGTCTGTAATGTTTCAGCTTTTAAGCATATATAGTTACTAAGTTATTATATATTTATACCTTTCAAGTAACACACATTCAAACAATGCCAAGCAGTTTTCTGTTAAATATTTTCACATATTCATGTGTCTGCTAATATGTCCATACACCAGATATGAATAAAAGGAGAACATATAAAGTAGGAGCGTGAGTAACAGTCCAAGTCAAAGTAGTAAGAGGAGTCGTTGAGAAATCTTCCTGTATCTATTCCTGTTTATTTCTTGTCATATGAAAACTAACAATTTTATCAAATTGTCAGTCCATGCAATAGTACATGTCCTAGTAGCAGTTGGAGTAACAGTCCAAGTCAAAATAGTAAGAAGAGTCATTAAGAAATCTTTTTGTATCTTGTCTATTTCCTGTCAAATCAAAACAGTCTTCTTAAAAGACTTGACTAAAAAAAACAATTTTTTGCAAAACACCTCAACAATTTTGGGAATATAAAAATTTTATATTTGCACTTTATCTGCTTTCTTCATTTCTTTGTGTATGAATTGGATATTTTTACTAGGTCAAATTTTCACCCCCTCAACCTTCCACAGTACATTTACTACTGGGTGATTAGTAGTCATAGGAGACATAAGTTATCATTTACCCACTCTCTTTTTCCACCAGCCACTGTGGCATGCCAGTGACAAGACATTTTTGCCTAGTAATGAGACAAAGTGCAGTTATATGAATTCTTATCATTCTCAAAGGCATTAATGCTAAGTGAACATAAGTAGTCACAAGTGAATGAAATACTATTTTCTATTTCACTACTTTGGTCTGACTATGCAAATAATGAGATATTCATTCTCATACAGAAAGAAATTAGAAAGGTTTTTTTTTTTTTAAATATCTTAAAAATTTTTCCATTGTATATAAGGATTGCAGAAACTTGAATATAAGCATTTTAAAGATTAAAAGTGTTCAGATGATAATAATAAAGTAGATAGCAGTTTGTACATCTATATTTATTGAATGTTTATCACATTTATTTATGGCAATGTTAAATGCTTTGTGTAATAAGCAGCTGAAAAGGAAAGAAATGAATTTTAAATGAAACACTGCTAATAAATATTTAATTAAAAACTCTTACGGCTCAACTGAAACAACAAGTTGGTATACAAAATTCTACAATTTTTTAAATTTTTATCCTTGTTTACTTTTTTCTTTTCTTGGCTTACAGCCATATCACATTGAAACAACAGTTCTCATACAATCACCAAAGTTAAGCAACATCAAGCCTGGTCAGTACCTAGATGGGTGACCACTTGGAAATACCTGGTGCTGTAAGCTTGAATGTGCATGTGTTGTAATGACTATGGCTCAGAATTGTAAATCAGAGAGCTAAGTTCCAATTCCAGTCAGGAGGACAGATATCATGTAATAGTTCAGTACTCTTTTCTTTGTTTATAATGAAATTTTTTGTATCTTAATACTCTTCTTAGCTTTTGGAATGCATCTTTGCCCATCTCAGTACATCTTCAGATCACAGTGTCACACTTTCCGTTTTCTGTGAGAACACTTCCCAACACAGCTGAAAAATGAAAAAAACTTCATAACACACCTCTGATTTATTTTTTTAATTATTTCTTTGTACTTCTTAATTCTCAATCATGCCCAGAGAATAATATCATAAAATCAAGTGTTTTACTCATGTTGATAAATATTACAATTATTTATTTTTACTTTGGATAGATGAATATAACATTCTAAATACAAGGGGGTGCTGAAATGTTATCACCCCAGCCCACTTTCCAAGATATGACCAAACATCGGAATGCTTCTTTTTTTTTTTTCTTTTTTTTTTTTAATTCCTTTTTGATCATCCTGTAAACCTTTTGACACACCTTTTGTAAATTGCCCTGAAGACAGTAAACCAAAAATGTACAACCTTTCAAAAATAAAGTAAATTTAGCTCTGCCTGGATACAGGAAAGACTATTGAATTTTTCCCAGGATTTTTAACTCCAATTCATCAATGGTAAGAAGACAAGGTTATTTATATCAGTTAAGGAATTTAAATCATTTAAATAATAAACTGCTAAACTGAAACAGCATAAAAATATCAAAGAACTTAATTTTTTTGCTTTTTGTTTAGTTGGTAGTTTTCTCTTTTCTTCCAATACTGTGATCTTTTAAACTACTTGTTACATTTTTTTTAGTAGCTGCAGTTTTACTGAGCTTACCAACTTCAGTTATAATTTTATTTTACATTTACTCAGAAATGTGTATGGTGATATTCTAACCATAGCTTAGATGTGGCACAAGACCAAAAATATGGAGCATCCAGTAAGGATCAAACTTGTTATTCAATCATAATTGATCTATGGAAATAAGCTTGCTAAGCATTATACTACATGCCCCTCAGAAATGTGTATGTATTTGATATTGTATCTACTAACACATCAGTTTTTAGTCATTGAGAAAATCATTTTGTTTGATATTTTTTTAATAAGCATTCTTTTTCTAATTATTATTGCTGCATTATGGACTTCTTACAGTGGATGTTCTTGGTGAAAATATTTGAGAAACCTGATATGGTAAATAAATTTCCTGAGTTGTCTTCCAAGTTTGAATTATCAGTTCACAGCAAATTCAAGGTGAATATAATAATTGCAAATCTGTTTGTTTTTTGTTGTTTCTATAAAAGGCAATAAAGTCTTCAGTTGATGACTTTCTTCCACAATTTCAGCTTATCAGAAATTGTTCTGTTAAATAACGTCCTTTGTCTAATGATAGCTATAAAGTTGAAGAGAATAATAACTGCATTAATTATTTTTGTCATTAAACTTTTGAGATACTGAAAAAGAATGTTTGCTCTTCATATATAAATAAATAAAATAAAACTTAGAAATCTTTAAATGGTTTCTCATTTTCAATTTCAATTCTGTCGGCTAAGTGCTGCACAACTGTCAAAGTAACACACACACACACACACACACACACACACACACACAAAATAAATATATAGAGAACATAACAAATAGATAACTTTGAATTCATATTGGTAAGTAGAAGCATCAATAAATATATCTGTTTTGAGTATCATCATCATGATCAATACTTAATACCCAACCCAAGGAAAATCATGAAACTTCATTTGATGATAGTGATATGACTCCAATCAATTTTCCAAAAAAAAAGTTTCCCAATTGTTTATTAGTAATAAACAATTGGGAAACTTTTTTTTTATCTTTTACCTTTTTAAGTAAAAACCTGTATTTACAATAAAAGTAGATGAGTTCATATATTTCTCATTTTAAGGAATGGATGAGAATTGCTTATGCAGACTCCAAAGTGCTGTCAGTGGCAACAAGGTCAATTACTGAGAAAGGATACCGTTTCCTTCAGGGTGAGCAACTCAGGAAGATGTTCCTGAGCATTATTGAATCAATGGTTTGTATGCTTCTTCATTTTTGCTATTTTCATGTAAATTTCATTACATTCATGTTTTAGAGCAGTCTTTGACAAACGGCAAGCTGAATGGAGTCAATTTGGAGCTTCCTGAATGCCATGCCTAATTTCATGAGGAAAATAACACTTATTAATGTTTTGTTTGTTTTTTTCATACTCTCTTGTTCACTCACACATAACTATGATCACTGAAGTTAAGCAACATCAAGCCTGGTCAGTACATAGATGGGTGACCATTTGGGAATACAAGTTGCTGTAAGGTCAGATGTGCATGTGGTGTAATGGATAATGACTTGAAATTGGAGAGTTCCAGTTGGGTTCAATATATTCACTCAGGAAAGTTATGAATCCATCTCTTCTCCCCCCAACTATGAGTTAATTACTAAAACTTGTATCAGTAAAATCATTATTATCTCAAAAAAAATTCTAACAATCTAAAAATATTTTCTAGCTTTAAAATAACCTGCGAAAGGTTAATAAACTTTAAAAAAAAATAAAAAATTCATTCTCAAATGACCAGATACATAAACACTGATTAAATACATTTCTTGAATTTTATAAACTTTTGTTGATAAATTTTTCATCATTTTAAACCATTGGCAAATTTCAGTAAGGAAAATTATAGGCATACATATCATTTGTTTTAGAAGCAGGAAACATTCACAATGTTTTCTCTGGAGAAAATATATATTTTTTTATTTTAACATGTTAACTGCCAGAGGTCAATTATGTAATCTGTCTTTCAAATGCTAACTTTATAAAAGCCAATAAAAGATTTTCACAAGTTGATTTCAACTGAGGTCTTAACATTGTTTCTCATACTAAAAGTATCACTGCAAATAAACTCATTGTTGGAGCTCACAGATGAAAATGTATGAGAAAATGCCGAGCACAAGATAACTTAGTCAGCAATCAATAACTAGTCATAATAAGAACTGCTAACTATGAGTTATTTCATGGTTGGCAGTCAATGTGTTAAAAAAAACTTGTATTTTTGAATAAATAAATTATAAATTACACATAACAGCATCTATTGATCACACTGTCATAATAGTGATAATACTGGTTGTGACAGGAATACCTCCCACATATACCTCTCAGAAATACCTCCCACATATACCTCTCAGAAATACCAAGACATTAGTGGCAATGGTGTCTTCATCTAATGCTAATGTCTTACCATTACGTGGGAGGTATTTCTGCTACAACCTGCATTATACCAAAACATCAGTATTTTATTTATAGATAAAAAATTTCCACTAAAGAAAAAATAAATTTTTATGCATATAGTAGTGAAAATGGCTGGAAAACTTTAACCAAAAAATTACCTTTTAATTTTTTTAGTAGTGTTTCCCACCTTATGATGGCTCACTCATCAGAAAAAGGTTTCCCATGCCTGTTTTAGAGAAATTAGTTTGCCTGTTGGAATTCAGTATATTAATGTATAATCTGTAAGGTTGACATGTTAAACATCATTTTATATATATATATATATATGTGTGTGTGTATTGTAGATGTTACATTGGTAAAGAATTGCATGATAATGGATAATTTAATTTTATGAAATCTATAAAATCTTATTTGAATATGAGAAAGGTTTACATCTGCATAAAGACAAGTCATCATAGAAATTAAATAAATTGGGACTTTGACTAGAAATGTAGAAAATATGCCCTGAATTTGTTGATTTTTTTTTTTTCATAGAAAATTGTAATTACAACTGCAATGTGATAAAATATAATTCTTACCAAGTCTTTCTCATCATCGGAGTAAATTTCATTTTTTTTTTGTTCTCCTTTTATTATACTATTTCAATAATTTTTATATCTATTTATATATTATCTAAAATATAATACAATGATATATCATTGTATTATTTTAATAATTTTTATATTTATTATATTGTTTTTAATATTCTTCATTATTATTTCAATAAACTCAAAATATCATATAGTATTTGTTATTAACATATTTATTTCTGTTTATGCTTTCTGAGCCTCAAAAACAAGGAAATATCAGATTTTTTAAACACCAATGTTAAATGATCCCATTACTATAACTCAGTATTTAAATAATTGAAACTGCACCTCATCCCATCAAAACTCTAACAGTAGTTATATTAGATTTCCAGAGCATGTGGATTGCAGATTTCATTGTTACATGTTTTTTTTATGGTTCAAGTATAGCTTGAGTTTCAAAATTATGTTTTTTGGGTGTTTTTTTTTTTTCTCCAAGTATATGCCTAAACTGAAATGTTTGTCTTGGAAATTATTAGCATGAAACTTGTGGTAAAAGACCAGGTTCTGAATATTGTTTAATGTCTCATTCAGATTTAATGTCTTTGAAATATTCTATTAGTCTTGTCATAATATTATGTTTATATTTATAATGAATACATATCACATGCATTGTTTTGTAATTCAATGATTGTTGGACTGTTTTGGCATTGTGTTTTATATTCAGTGTTGTGTAAGAAAATAAGACTTCATTAAGAAATGTTTTTGAAAAATTAAAATTAGAATTCTACTCAATGAAGGTTTTCAGTAGAAGATTGAGACAGGATAGCAACCAGACAGGACACTTCAGAGCAACAAGAGGTTAACAGTCTTAAGAAGTAACTTTGTTAATCAATCAGTTACCAATACTATGGTTGAAAGTTTATTGAGGGAGCCTGTTCACACACACACACACACACACATATATATATATATATATATATATATATATATATATATATATATATATATAAATATATAAATAAACAAATTCACTCTTTTACCTTTTTTCTTTATTTTTCTTTAATATGTAATTTATGTGAATAGAAAATAAATTCTTCAACTTTATACATTTAGCAAATGGTGATAATTTTGGTATTTCT